TTTCATGTAGAAACATTAATTATATATGCAGCACAGGCAATTACTTTGGTTCTGGGTAGTTTTCGGGAATCGAGCTCTATGAAATACTTGGCCCATCAAAGATAAACACAACGCCTTGTTGCTGATGCCGGTTTTGAATAGGAGTATCTTGTTGTTGGTCTCAAGCTATTTTTAACCGGTTTAGCATGTTTTGCACAAACACTGATTCATACTCGTAGTAAGCATTGATGGGCTGCACATAAACATTCTCCCAAACCATGACTAGTTCTTCATTTTTCAGTTCGGCCCTGTTGGACTCTACACTCGCTTTGCCTTTCCACTCAACCCAACGACATAAACACTATTTCCGTTCAATTTCCTTGGAAAAAACTAGCAAAGGAAAAACGAAACTCGAGCAAAAAAATAATCCAAGTGCCTTCGCCTGTTTCAAACGGACATTGCTCAATGTTTGCCCAAAACAATTATTTCCTCCTCTGTCGCACAAACTAAATGCTTCCGCTCAACACAACTAAGTGGACCTTTTTGCCTATACTTTTCCTGTTTTCGGTCTGATTTCGCTTTTTTATGGCCAACCAATTCATTTCACTTTAGATATTTGTAAAATGTTCAACTCGTCCATTTGTTTTGTTCATGTTCAGTGGTCTCGAATTTCGAGCATGACGTAATATTTATATCTAATACAAATGCAAGTATAAATAAATTGTATTTATAGGAGTAATGCTTGCGAAGGGGTTTGGGCTTTTGCTTTTATTTGAGTTCGTTGAGAAATGCTTGCGTTTGCTTTTCATTTTACAAATCGCTTACGAAATTTTAGGCTTGGTCAAGCGATTTATTTTTAATAGACAGCAACTGATAAGCGTTATGGAGACAAGTCACATATAGCGCGAAGCTCGCTGATCTTCAGCGGTTCCATGGTGTAATGGTTAGCACTCAGGACTCTGAATCCTGCGATCCGAGTTCAAATCTCGGTGGAACCTGAATAAAACCACATTTTTAGAAGATTTTTTTAGCCTGCAATTGGCTTTAAAGCAGATATTTTATATTAAGTATCTTAGGAGAGTTTTCAGGCATTTAAAAATAGAAAGCTTTGGAAACATTTATAAAAAAATAAATACATAATTATGTATGTATTGGCCAGAAATTCCCAGGCTAGCTAATACAGTGAATATTTTATGAAAAATACAAGTGATTTCTTTGATATGATATTTGATATGCAATACTATAAAGAAATATTCAGAAATTCTCAGTTTTTATGGCTGAATTCTTTCCAAACATATCCAAGATGTACATAAAACTAAAACGATTTTCTAAAGTAGTGAAAGAAATAATCGGTTGGCAATTAAGTAATTAAAAATTTATATTCATACAATGCAACTCGTCATAAAAATATAATTTCTGTTACTTTATTCCAAGCATTGAAAGATGTCGAGGTCGTTATTGGAAGATCCGTGAATGTTAATCCCTAAATTTTAAGATACTCAAGAAATGGTTGTCTTAAGAATATAATGGCAATATTTTTAGAAACTTATACAAGTATACCTCCTTGGTATTGAAAAAATATATAAATTAAATGAAAACACAAATTAAACTAAATTTACTTCTGCCTAAGAAATTATTTATCTATGATTATATTGTTATTTGTATGCAATTAGATGCTACAGAAACAACGATTAAACACTTGAGAGAACCCTGTAAAGCACAATTTTAACAAAACATAATGCTCTACAGTTAATCCCCAATGCCGTTTTATGCATAATTGACCACATGACCTACATACTATACAAGTATACGTGTACATAGGTATGACCCCTTACCGTTGTCGCCCACTCATTAATTAGTATGCCAGCAGCCTGGGTCGAAAGTAATGTCATTCTGTAGAGTCGAGCAGTACAACAAAACCAACAACAAACAGAAACAGAAACGGCCACAAAGTAAATTCAAGTGGACACGAGTGGACACGTCAATTGCAAGACAAGAGCAAACGGGATGGCGTATAAGAGTGACATCAAAATTAATTGGCAATTAATTCTTTATGAGCAGAAGACCAACAGCTTGACAGTGTCAGTTGCTAGTGACAGTGACACAATATTATGACAACACACACACACACACACATTCGCAAACACTTACACACATATGTGCTATATGTGCTTTATTTAGGCAGGATATCGGCGGACACGAGGAAGTGAAGGAGACGAGCCAACCAGTGCCTCAGTTAATGCCCATAAAAAACACGTGCGCATTGGAGCGTGAAAGTGCGTGAAGTGAAAAGAAACGTAAAAATTCCAACCTACACACCCACGCACACGCACACACACATACACGCGCACACAAACACACTGACAATGAAAAATTAATATGCCAAAAGTGGAAAATTGCTCGCTGCCAAATTTGTCTTCTTTTTTCTGCTGTTGCTGCTCTGTTTTCCACACGAATTATGGAGGATTAGCTATGCATCATTAGCTATTAGAAGTGTGGCGCTATGTTTTGTGTGATTAGCAGGCCTCCATTGCATCAGGCCGGCTTAGTAAATGCTCTGCCAGAGAGTACAAATATGTGCATATTCGCGATACATACATACATATGTATGTATATGTATTTATGTGTATAATTCACAGAACGAACCATCTAAGAAGAGTATCGCATGCAAGGGCTGTCTGTTCAGAATGTTCTTGCAATTAAAAAATGTATCCAATGGCGAGCTGGGCGGTCTATAATTTAGCTAATTGCTCAATTTATTACTCATGTACTACAATTACTCATGTGTACAAACAAGTTATGAATTATATTCAGTGTTTGCTTCAAAATTTAGCAACATTACATTAGTTTTTAGAACGTTTATAAAATGTTAATTGTTAAAAAATTAAGTTTGTAAAACATTTTTGGCACTTTTTTTCTGTGTGCGAGCTAAATTATTATATAAATTTATAAGAATCGTAGTAACACTAGTGTATTTAGAACTATGAAAGCGTGAAGAGTATTTTGTCATCGACTATGTTTTTTTTTTCGCCACGTGCATGCTCACGCACTCTCACATGAAAACACAATATAGGTTAGGGTTATATTGTTTCAGGTTTTGTCAAAGTAGTCACGAATTGTTTGACAAATAAACAAGACAGCAAATAATAATAGCAATTTATACACGGAGTAGATTAATACGCAAAGGAATAATTTTGCAGGGTTATTTTAATTTGACAATGGCGATGCTTCAAGGCACTTCCGGTCTAAGCCTGTCCTATTTGTTTGTACTTGTGTTATTATTATGGTGTTTTTATTTTTATTAATTTTTTTTGTTCTACCAAAAAACTATAACGCGTGCACTCGCGTGTATAAACTAGCGCGCTCAAAGTAAAACCAAAACTGAGCATTTAAGGGCATTTACGATTGATTTTATACCGAAACATGCTACCAAACGACAAGCCTTGCATTTGTTGTGACACAGAAAAGGTCCGAACTTTGCACCATTCGTACCGTCCATCTCTCTCGGATTGTTCGTCCTATCCTTCGTCGTCTTCGCTCGCCAGTAATTTGTGAATGGGCCACACAAACCCGAGCCGTGGTTTTCGGAGTAAAAGCTCTAAAAGCCTTAGTCGCATCCTTTTGCCAATTGAAAACTTTCTGAGCGTCATATTCCAGCAGGTGTTTCGCCTTGGCGCGCTTATGAATATTTCACTACAGCTACACACATACGTGTACGTTGCGCTTTGTGTTTAATTGGCTTTTTGTTTAATTATTACGAAAGTTGGACCCAATACACGCTATATTGTGCAGAAATTTGCGCCACAAACAAGCAAAAGTCTACAATTAATCACCGAAAGCTCCAGTTGCATGTTCTGTATAATGAATTGTGCAGCGTTGAAGAAAGCAACCCAAATTTTCTTTCTCTAGGCAATGTCCGATAATCCACCGATAAGGACAAACATAGCAAATTAAAATGTACCTATTAAATATTATACAACCAATTTTATTATGACCTTTTTGAAAACAAGGAAGGTATAGCCTTCTGAAAATTCGAAATCATTTCTATTAAAGTCCCACAGTAGGAATATTTTAATATAATTTTCTATTTCCTAAATAAACGTTAAGTTCTAGTTTATTGCTTCTTTTTCGATACGTTCCACAAGATGGAGGAACACTCGCGCCACCTACTGCTAAAATTTGGCTCTAAAAACGGCTCAGCTCAAGAGACAGCATTTTCAAGGCTAAACACGTGATGGTTCTATGGTGTAATGGTTAGCACTCTGGACTCTGAATCCAGCGATCCGAGTTCAAATCTCGGTAGAACCTGGCTATTAAGCTTAAATTTTAATATTTTCTTTTGCGTATATTAACATCACCCGGCATTGCAAATAAAAGTGTATTTTTAGAAACAATTGTTTGGTTAACAATTTTTCCGGTATCTTTTGGCCCCCCCCCGCTGAAGCTGGAACCCAAAAAAACACCCCGGCCACCACCTAACATAGCGGTTCTATGGTGTAATGGTTAGCACTCTGGACTTTGAATCCAGCGATCCGAGTTCAAATCTCGGTAGAACCTGCCTTGCGCATACATGCATATGCATACAAGAAGTGTGTGTGTGTGTGGTGGTGAAAGCAGATTTAGGATTTTATTGGATTTTTTAAAAATATTAAACACATTTGTTTACGTTTACTGTCTCTAAGAAGAGCTTTTAAAAGCTTCAGCATTATTTTTAAATGAGCACGTGCCATGGGCTCAGAAACGCAGCAGGCAAAGCTCACCCACACACACTGAGGCGTGACAATAGTCAACAAAGCGACAAGTTCGAGTGCACTCTCACACAAACGCGAGCTTGCAGGCGTAGATGAGAAACGAAAAAAAACATAAACAGAAACTTGTTAATTAGCAAGTTTGCTGTTGTCATTTAAATAAGTTGTTGTGAACGTAATGGCTTTAGGTATAGGCTGCAGCTGCATTTGGCTCTTTGATAATAAGCATATATGTATGTAGTATGCATGTACATATGCTAAACCTGCACTTACCTTTATCGCGGAATAGCTTTTTATATGCAGCCAAATTTTCCGATTCCAGCCACTCGTCGACGCTGGGCTCGCTGTGTTCGCCGGGATACGATGACCAAATCAATAACACAATCTTAACTAATGAGATGGTGAACATTAAACTCAAAAAAATTGCAATTAGAAGCTTTAGCGAACGCTTCAACATAATTGCGTACAAACAAAAACACGACACGATATTTGCACCTGTGTGATTGACGCATAGAACAAAGGTAACGGAAGCAACGAATTTTGTTTTGGTGCCCTTTGCGTCGTTGTCGTCACTTTTGAAACGCTTCTGATAAATGTTTAATGCGCGCACTTTTCGCTGCGGCAGCGACCATCATCGACGACAAGTACGATAACAAACTGGGGTTATAATAATTTAATGGCCATTTCGCATTAACCTACTCATGGCATTTTGCTGCTGTTCACTTATTATTTATTATTATCGTGTTTATTTGGCCGCAGAACAATGGCACAGTACACAAACACAAGAAACAAAGCGATTAAGGCGGCTGGTGTTGGTACAACAAGAACGCTGTGATAAAATGCCAGAACAGCTGGCTGTCAGACAGCCCTGCCAACTCGCTTGCACATTATACAAATACCTAGAAGGTATGATATTGCGCAGGTCCGTATTTCGGTGTTCTCTTCAAAATGACGTCACAATGAGCCCTACTCGTAGCGTTTGCATTTTGTCATTTGTTACCCCGCAATTAAATGCAAAAATGCCGCTACTTGAGTATTCAATTGCGAAAGTATTTGATTTTGCACTATATATAACGCCGGCGCTCAAAGTAAGCTGATAAATAATTGAATATAAAGCACGCGCATGGCTACCAATTTCTTATACAGTAATGGTGGGTGCCATTGTGGACAAGAGTGCACAAAAATCAAATGACAGTCCTTATGGAGTGTTTACGCGGAATTTATTGTAACGAGAGTTCAAAACTTGCAGACTTTAATACTATACCTTCTAGGTTATTTATATCACGCGCTCGCTGCGTCTTTAAATAGCATGATATGGCAGCTCCGCTAGTGAATACACAAACCCACAAAATGGTTTTGAGTTAACACAAATGCATAGCAACTATACAGAAAGTTAAAACGAATACTAAAAACTTGTTTCACTACATATGTTGCACTACATCTGTACATAAAAATAGAGTTGTTTATAATTTATGTAAAAATGAGAACATAAAAAGAAGTTAATTTCTCAGGTTCCACCGAGATTTGAACTCGGATCGCAGGATTCAGAGTCCTGAGTGCTAACCATTACACCATGGAACCACTGACAATCTCGTTACCAAATGCAGTATTTGTCGTCATATAGCATATATACATACAATCGTATTTCTTGCATGGGCTGTTATCAAAAATGTATGCGCAGAATCCATAGGTAATTAATAATTGTGACGAATTGTAAAAGTTTTTTGGATTGTCCGCCCCATATTACTTCATTTTCTGGTTGTTCTTTATATTAGTTTCTAGGAAACAAATAATTTTTTAATTTTCTATGGATACGTTGCAAATTTCGCCTTATTTTTTTTACTGTTTTTCCAAAGTTCCCATAAAAAGCACACAAATAAAATATTTAATATTCTGGAAATTTAAAATATTCGCATATTTTTTAAATATTAAGAACCCGGATAAAACGAAAAATGATTCCCTCAATTAAAAAAAAAAATAAAGAAAGCAGAGCTTCGCGTCTGAGGTTCTACCGAGATTTGAACTCGGATCGCTGGATTCAAAGTCCAGAGTGCTAACCATTACACCATAGAACCGATGTGCCGGGACTTTGCCAGATGCATTTTTATGGTGCACCCTCTTCGGAGCATTAAAAAACATTTTGATGCTATATATTTATAACTTAATTTTAACAGAAATATTTTAATTTGTATATATACACTTATATCTCCGTCTTTATTCATTAAGAATTAAAAATGTAAAAAAGGAGATTGCACCTGAGTTGCAGGTTCTACCGAGATTTGAACTCGGATCGCTGGATTCAAAGTCCAGAGTGCTAACCATTACACCATAGAACCAGTTGATTGGTCATCAGCAAATTCACAATAAAAGAAAAGACAGAAATAAGGTGTAAAACTTTGCTGAGAGTCAAACATGAATAGAAAGTAGTCTACACCTGCACACAAACATTATGTTTGTGTATATGGAAAAAAGAACAAATAGCTGTGCTTAAGTTATTAATAGTTAATCAAATTAGCAGTCTTAACAGTAATTTTATCTCCAAGCATTTTAGGTGTATTTTTGTAGGAACTAACAATGCTTTTCCAATGGCTATAGCGGGTACACAAACCTATGAAACCAAAGCTCGGCCAACTTTAACTTGTATGGAACTTAATTTGTCCACATAAAAAATTATACTAATTGCAGCATTTATCGCGTAAATACCCTTAAAAGAACAACAAAATAATTATAACATGAATTAGAGGAGTTAGAAAAAAAGCAAGAAATTTAGCTCGTGTCTTAGGTTCCACCGAGATTTGAACTCGGATCGCAGGATTCAGAGTCCTGAGTGCTAACCATTACACCATGGAACCGCTTGTCCACCGCTTGTAAAAACACCGTTAAATCAGTGAGAACATTTGGTGTGATTGCCGAAATCAATGTGTCGAATAAAAAACCAGAATTTAATCTGAAATACACACTCGACTGCTGCAAAATACAAAGGTATATTTAATTTCTATTGATAAAGTGTCACTGGCAGAGCCCAGGCAATTAAAATCAATTGCACTTATCAATGCACACGCAGCCAGAGACAGGCACCATACGAAATCACGTTGCTTTTTTAACACATTTTATTAATTTTTTTTGCATTTTTATAAGCATTTATAGCTAAAACCTAATTAGAATTGCCAGCGCGCATTTTCCAAGTCCATTATCAGGCTTCCATTTGCCGGTTGGTTGTAATTGCTGTCATCATTTTAATCTTTGGCGCATGCACTTAGCCGTAGTACGAGTAGGGGGAGGCGTAGTAGCCGGAGGAGTAGCCGGAGTAGCCGTAGGGACTGCCATAGTAGAACTGTGGGGCGGGCTCAGGACTGGCCACTGGCAGAGGCACAGGTGCGGGGGCGGCGCGTGGAGCTGGCGCTGGTACAGCCAGGGCAACGGCGAAGAGGGCAGCGAAGAGCACAACCAACTGGGAGGAGAATAATAAAATGCACTGAACAGCTAAATCCTTTTTCATGTCAGCATTTACTTACGAGCTTGAACATTTTGACAAAGTTGTTTATTTGCGGTGTTGATTAGAGACTTCCAAGTTTTGTTTTGATGCTGTACCTTAGGCAGCGGCGGCTATTTATACCCCGAAAGCAAAATCATCCTCATGTCTTATGTATGTACATACATACATACTATATATGTATGTATGCATGTACCCCTATTATATTCAGTTTGTCATTTGTTTTGCTCAGATTTATGACCACTTTGTTCTGCTCAAAATTCCCAATCATCTGTCCGATAGTTTTCATAGTTTTTACTGTCGGAGAGTTTCCTTCGGCGCATTCTAATGACTTCTTATCGCAATCTCATTAAGCGTAACCGGCAGCAGCACTCGTCACAATAATAAATAGAACTGACCTTCGGCGCAAATTTGTGGCTTGGTGGCTTGGTGGCTTGGTGGCTTCAAGCCCAGTCAGGCAGACGGAGAAGCAAAAATTTTGGTACGCTTATTGCATACTTAATTGGTATTGCTATTGGACTTATGCCCGAACTGCTTTCAAAAGGCTTAGAGCGTTTGCCAGCCAGCTGTTCTGTTTATAGTCGCATTCGAAAGCCATTAAAGTGATTAATGAATTGTAGACTTTGGCAAGTGTTCCCCAAATAAGAGTCAAATCGGCTCGATCCTATCAAAAAAGGTAGCACAAATATTTTGCGCAACATTTCACTTACTACATACTACATTGTATGTTGACAAAGACTTCAATAAGCAATTTAGAACAATTTTTGTTTTTATTGGCATTTCTAGCGCTGTTTCAGCTTTAATTTGATGATTTCTTAAATTCATGTAAGAAGAGTCACGAGCTCAGTATACATATTCCCACTCTTTATATAGGAATTGTAAACAAATTCAGTTCCGGCTCCGCATATCACATAATTGTTCTGACAGGTGATAATACATGGCCACGAAATCGGTGTAATATTTTGAATAACGACCAGGCATGAACCAACGCGAAATATCGAATCATTAACAGAATGTGAATGTGTGTACTCTATAGTATATGGAAGAACTAATAAGTAGCAGCAAAATCTTGTGTGTATACAGACTAATAATACGTTATATTTTCAACTTAGATAGCAAGCCCGACAGTAAAATACCCTGTACTCTCCACAAAAAAAGAAAGATTAAAATAAAAATTATTTAAACAAATTTAATTAATTAATATTTAAATTAAATATGCATAAAATATTGCATATATACATACAAAGTGTTTATGTACAACAAACTGGATGTATATGCTAAATTTGAGTTCATTCCAAGAATTACGGGAGTTATGAAAAATTGCTAATTGTGGGCGAGTGGGGGGTGAATCAAAATAAAAAATAAAAAAACTTGACCTGCCTAGGTCTCAGGGGAACTGGGATACCTGGATATGAGGTATGCAGCACAAAGTTGAACCAAAGCCGCAACAACAACAACAGCTGCCGACAGAGCTTGGGCAGAGATTATATGTATGGCTACAACTTTCTTCATAATTGACTTATCATGATGAAACTTAGCATACAGACACAAAGTCACTATCTCTAGATATTTGTCAAATCTGAGTACACAATTCCAAAAATTACGAGAATTATGGAAAAAATACGACCTGGGGGGGTGTATAAGAAAAGATAAAACAAACTTTACCTGCCTAGGGCTTAGGGGTACCTGGATGCCAAGTTTGGTAATTCTAGCTCTTGTACAGGCTATAAATAGAAAGTAAGTAGAGTAAAAAACTTCATTGTAATAAGGAGCTAATTAGATTACTTAAGGAGCAAAAAGAAAGGAAAACTATGCATCTCTAATATAACCTTGTACATACATCATTTGTAGACCCATTAGAGTCTATTGGAGCGTTTTCAATGCTGTGGTACGATCGGACAAACATTGTAAAGTACGTATTAATTTTCGTAATATTATTATTATTTTAATAATAAATCATCGCGCATCCTCATGTATTGTTAAAGTGCTAAGCCTGTATGCCCGGATTGAATGCTTATATTAAACATAGAAAAACAAAACCATTTGTATAATACGAGCCCTAACCACACTAGGTTTTTTCGATAGTGCAACTTTCAATGACCTTTTTTTATTTGTGGGTGATGATTGCACAAACATATTTATGCTTTTTGAAAAGGCCATTGAATTACCTTTAATTACATATCAAAACATGCACACGTGTCACATAACAATAATGCAAAAAACAATTTAAATAAGACAACTTCATAATACACGAAATATTTTTGACCATTATTAATTGGTACGGCAATATTATTTTTATACTCTGTACATGAAATGTACAAGAGTATATTAGGTTTGCGGGAGCTGAAAAATGTAACAGGCAGAAGGAGGCGTGGCAGACCCCACAAAGTATATATATTCTTGATCAGCATGACGAGACGAGTCGATCTAGCCCTGTCTGTCTGTCTGTCCGTCTGTCCGACTGTCCGTCTGTCCGTCCGTATGAACACCTGGATCTCAGAGACTATAAGAGATAGAGACACCAAATTTTGCACGAAGATGCGTTATGTGTGTATTCTATACGAGTTTGTTTTATTTTTACCCCGCAAATCGTAACTCCCGTAATTCTTGGAATTTCGAACTAAAATTTTGGAAATACCCCCAGTTAGTTATTATGTGTCCGTATGCCAAATTTCATTATGATAGACCGATTTAACAAGAAGTTATAGCCATAAATATATTTGCTGATGCAGCGCTGCTGCAGCGCTGCTCAAGCGCCCTTACACAGACACGAATTGATGCGCATAGGCATACATACACTCACACAGACGCAATTGCTATGTAAATGTGCAATTATACACCCTTTACGTGAGTTCGAATACCGAGAGAGGTAAAATCGATCAAATTTTTTTTTTTATTTTCTTAATTTTTTTTATTTTCTATAATTATTGTAAACATATGTACAGAGTATTTCAAAGTCGGGACACCCGACTTTAGCTTTTTTACTTGTTTTAAATAAGGCTGTGAAAAAGTGAAATGTGAACATAAATTGTAAAACTAACCTTATATAAAAAACATATGCCTTTGAATTGTAATTTTTAATGGGTTTTCTAATTTTTGAGCACGATGGTAAGCCAGTTTGTGAGTAAGGTCGAGCTTCAAATATAGAAAAATTCAATTTGGGCAACTGCTATGACAAAGTATGAAAAAATCGCATGCTTTCTAAGTCTCCGGTACAAAATGAAGTGCAAAGCTATAGAATGATTGAGAATATTCACAGTAATACAGCAAACAGAGGTCGAGTCTCAAAAATGACTTCACGTGACAAAAGAGGTTTGTCGTCTATAATTCAGAAGTACTGTGTTAGATATAGCGACAAAATGCTCTGAAAATATTGGGAAAACACTAAAACATGAATGGCCGCGACAGGAAATGAAACGAACTTAATATAGCTTCTATAAGGTTGAACATAACAAATATTTTGATGTTTTTAGGCCAAAGAAAAACGTTTGCTCACAGCTTTGCCAATAAAAAAACGACTGCTATGGGCAAGAGAAAGACAGAACTGGGTACTAAGGGAGAAGAACTCTATTATTTTTAGAGGGATTCAAAATTGATGTGTTTGTCGGTGATGCTCAAAAACGAGTAATACGAATGCGTACGGAGGCATATCACAAAGATTGTCTGAGGCGTCCAACCAAATTTCTATCAATCACAATGGTGAGGATGCAGGTTAGTCAATGATGTGGGAAACTTTACTTCACATATAGAGCTGTACATGCAGAAAAAAACAATGTTATCTTGCAAAGTAACCTCATTTCACAGATTTGTGACTGTGGAGAATACTTTTCATCTACACACCCCGCAAAAATAACCGATAATTGGGTTCAAGAGAATGGTATTGATGTCCTAGATAGGACATCACCAATTCCAGGTCTAAGACCAATAGAAAACTTGTGGGTGATCATTAAAAGATTAAAATCAAAATTGGAGAAAATGTTGGACTTTATAACTCTTGAAGAATGTCTAAATTTAGTTAATACTATTAAAACGAGAATTAAAGTTATTATTAAAAAATAAAGATGATACTCAGGATTAATTAGTAAATATTGTTGCCGTTGACTTATTTAAATTGAATTTTTGCATTATTGTTTGTGAAACGTACCAATTAATAGTGGTTACGGCTCGTATATATGTACATACCTAGGAAAGTTAGCGGAGAATCTGTTGTTATATGTTATATATGTAGATGGAAGCAAAACACATTCTGTTTAGTATGCAGCTTTTAATTGAGATGTAATTGATTTGTAGTCTGATCAGACTGATTTGTTCAAATCATGTGCATGCTTTATAAGATCACAATAGGAATGGGAATCTCTCGATACCTGAAATTGTTCGTTTGAAACTACGAATCGAACCAATTTATTTGTAATTTGAAGCAATCCATTTCAGGATAAGATTCTACTATAAGATAATGAATAAGACAAAATTGACTTACTAATTCAAATTCACGTTTAATATTCACAACGATTCAGTCAAAAAATGTTTTCTTTAAATAATGCTCTCTAAAAAACAGACAAATTTTGAAATGTTCTACTATATGTGTTTGAACGCGTGATTGTAAGTATTGAATCTGAAATTGTGAAATACTTGAATATATACTTACTAAATATATTTAAGTGTCAAAGTTCTGTTCTAGTTATGAAAAAGACAAATAGCAGGGTCTCGGTTTCTCGGTCTTTGGAGTACCTGAACACAAAGTTCAGTTATTCTACGTGTATGTGCCAATTTAAGAATAATTACAAAATAAATATTTTATTTTAGCGGAATAAGCATTTACACCCGTTTACGGCTTTTTTGCAAGGTAAGGCTTTATAAGTGATTGTAGATTTAAATTATATAAAAGGCCAACTTAACCATTTTCGAGAACAATAATTACATTACATTCGAATATTTTCAAAAACATTTAAAAAACTGCCCCCCAAGGCTGAAAGGGTATACTAGTTTTGGGCGAATGTATGCAACACGCCTTAAGTCGCGTGGCAAAACCCATAAAGTTTGAATATTCTTTATCAGTGTAATGATTTACATTTTTACATAGAACCAAGGCTTATTAATGCATGTGTACTCGAATCTAGTTATCATTTATTTGGGACCCTAAAAGCATATAAAACATTAAGCATATTTTACATTATTTATGTGGGCATGAGTGTTGTTCCTTTTCCCTCTCTTTTTGCCTTCCAAGCGAGGCCCTAGCAAGAAGGAGAGAAAAGAAAAAGAATTCGGCAGACGTGTCGAGCAAAGAGACGACGAGTTCGGTATTTGGAACATTAAGCCAAGCCATGCATTTTTGATTGGATGTTAAACCACCTTAACAGAGCACATTAAAATACCAAACTTACCATTTAAATAAATATAATAATAAATAAAATAAAGCTTGTATTGCTTTAAATGAAACCCCCCATTGACATGGTCGTCTTTCCGTCCGTCTCTCCGACTGTAAACAAACTTGGCATTCAATCCCCCTTAGCCCTAAGCAGTGCTGTCATTTTAGCTTTTTTCTCCACTAGATCTGGCATTTTTTTGAATGCCAGTGCCTCCAGGCTCTAGAATAAGACGTTTTTTTCTTCTTCGCTGCGTTAAGATATGTCTAAAGTGTATAAACAAAGTGTTCGCGAAGTGGAGCGGGTCTTCAGCCAAATTAAGAAATGGAATGAATTTAAATACGCTTAACTCAATTTTGGACCTAAGTTAGGTTTTTGTAAGCAAAAAAAAAACAATATTATATTATAATATTATAATTAAATTAATTAATTTTCAATTTAAGCTACGGACTTGATCGTAACACCAAAATTGTCCTGACGAAGAGGCTGTGAGTTTAGATGAACAGCTGTAGAATTCTTAGCTTGATTTTAATGTGAATTTTATACTATTTTTTTTACAAGAATCTCATATTATTATTATAAATTATGAATTAAGAATATAGAACTAATATGAAAGCATTAAAACAGATATGTATTTCCTTAATTTAACCAAGAAAATAGTGTTTTTAAAGCTGGCTTGTTTTTTAGCTTATTTCGCCTTAGCTTGCCTAGCTTTTTTTAGCTTTATTTTTTTGGCAATCTGGCTGTTTTTGTGTCCCGGCTTTGGAATACTCTGTACATATGTTTACAATAATTATAGAAAATAAAAAAATTGCACATTTCCATAGCAATTGCGTCTGTGTGAGTGTATGTATGCCTATGTGCATCAATTCGTGTCTGTGTAAACATGTGTGCTGTCAACCAAAGCACCAGCATCAACAACAGCCGCGGGCAGCGCTTGAGCAGCAAATATATTTATGGCTATAAATTCTTGTTGAATCGGTCTATCATAGTGAAACTTGGCACACGGACACGTAATAACCAACTGGGGGTATTTCCAAAGCATCTGGGACTAAAATTTGGTGTTCCTAGGTCTGATAGTCTCGGAGATATAAGCGATTATCCGAATGGAAAATCGGGAAAACCCCCATATGGTGGAAGTGGGGGGAAAATCAAAAAAATAAAACAAACTCGTATAGAATACACACATAAGGCATCTTTGTGCAAAATTTGGTGGCTCTATCTCTTATAGTCTCTGAGATCCAGGTGTTCATACGGACGGACAGACGGACAGTCGGACAGACGGACAGACAGACAAACAGACAGACAGGGCTAGATCGACTCGTCTCGTCATGCTGATCAAGAATATATATACTTTGTGGGGTCTGCCACGCCTCCTTCTGCCTGTTACATTTTTCAGCTCCCGCAAACCTAATATACTTCTGTACATTTCATGTACAGAGTATAACTATGACAGCACTGGCCCTAAGCCCTGTTCATGCTCTGGCAGCAGCTGGTGTTGTTGTTGCTGCTTTGGGTCAATTCTGCACTGCACACATAGCATGGACACAAACCACTCCTAATTTGATGAAATTGAAGAAGCACTTGTATTAATAAATGTGCATACATATGTGTGTGCAGTATTTGTTTATTTGTAATTAATTCCAACTTGTTTTGTTGAAGCATTAAGTAATCCCCTAAAGAGAGCAAAAAATATAGATCAAATGGAATCGATGGCAGAGTGCCCCGCGGCTGTCAAACAATTGCGTGCCAAAATGAGTTGACAAAATGACAGACTGCCATTGAAAGGCGCAATTATGGGCCAGACGAAAACATATACAGTGTTTGCTATATGTATATGTATGTAGTATAGAATGCCGCTGATGATGATGACGAAGTTTCTGTTGTTGTTGTTGTCGCCGTCGTCGTCGTCGATGTCACATTTTGCATTGCAAGCGGATTAAGACAACAATTTCTTTTGAGTGCAAAATGTTCGTTTTTTCTTTGGCTGCCATTTAACAAACGCTTTAGGCGAAATAATGAAGCAATAAAGACGCTTAACGAATGCATATAGAATATCTAAGCGGAACTGAGCGTCAATCTGCATTGGGAACAGGAGGAACCGGGAACTGGGGGAGCGGAGGAGCGGAGGAGGTCCGCAACTGCCATTTGGCGGTTACCATTAGTGGAACACTTCAACTGGGTGGTGGGCAGGAGGGTTCGTGGGGCTGGAGCTAAGCAGCTTATGGCTAATGACGACGCTGTGTGATGTTAAATTGCTTAGAGAGCCGAACGCTGTTTGTGCGCCGACTTTCGTATATAAGAGTCTGCATATTCCCGAACAGCAATTGCAGTCTGATTCTGATTGTGTCACAAGTCGCAAGTTAAAAGCTCAACAATGTTCAAGCTGGTGAGTGGACTGCCCGACCAAAAACTTACGGATATAGCTAACATTTCAGACCTTTCAGGTATTCCTGTTGCTCGCCGCCATTTTCGCCGTTGCCTTGGCTGTGCCAGCACCGATTCCTGGACCCAACCCAGCGCCCAGTCCTCAGTTCCTCTACTCGGCCGGCTATCCTGCTGTCTACTCCTCGCCCTATGTCTACTATGGCTGAGTTGCAGAGAATGAATTCTAATTTTTTATTTGACAAATATATGCATTGAGAAAACGTAAAAATCAAACGAAATTTTATTTATAGATATGTATTCTTATTGCTCTATTGGTCCGTTGAAAGCTTTTATAAGAGTTTTTCTGTCCATCACTCATCGTTCTCCCAACTCCTTGTCGATAACAACAAGACAGTGGACGGGACGCATTGACGGTTTCTAAATACGTACAAGCGAGCCACGATCGAGATGATTAATGAATAAATATTGTATAATTCGATCTGATAGATTGATAGATAGCTATTCTACAGCTGGCCGCTAAAAAGAAGGCGATACCAATCACCATAAAACTTCACAGGATCAACCATGGAACTATTTTGAATATCGGGGTCTAAAGGGAACATACATACAGACTTCCATTTATATAACTATGATTAAAGTTATGCCTTGACAGTTTTCAAAGTGTAATTAGGAGATCTTATATAAAGGTTTTTGGAAATGCAAGATCGAGTTTATTGATGGAGAGACCGGAGGACGGGTAAGTAGTTTAATGTTCTGAAGCGCATGTCTAATGTATGGAGTCTTTTTAGTATATTTAAGACCATTATGTTTGGATGGTCAGAGAGTTGCTTCGTGTATCTGGTGCTGAGGCTAGCTATTTCATCTATGAAGTAAGATGAAAAGTTCTGGAATCTGTGCAGAATTGTAACGTTAGATATTTTGGTAGAAGTAGATGTTGTCATATGTCCAGACGGGCTTTAGGATACTTTTATATACGAGTTTTAAAGACTTGTTTCTAATATCTCTCTCTATTAAAAGGTTGTTTGTAAGGTATACTATGTATGTACTTATAGTTTCGGGAATTATCATGGAGGTGAACAGTGTGTGGGAAGTGTTAGGAATACAAGCAGGTTCGTGCAGATAACTTGACTTAAGAATTAAAATGTGGTGTCAAATCAATTGTGGATCATGAATGGGCTTTAGGATACTTTTATATACGAGTTTTAAAGACTTGTTTCTAATATCTCTCTCTATTAAAAGGTTGTTTGTAAGGTATACTATGTATGTATAGTTTCGGGAATTATCATGGAGGTGAACAGTATGTGGGAAGTGTTAGGAATACAAGCAGGTTCGTGCAGATAACTTGACTTAAGAATTAAAATGTGGTGTCAAATCAATTGTGGATCATGAATGGTGCGACTCCGAATTAAGTTAAAACATTTGCAGCATTGTAATAAAATATTGGAAAGTACGGCCACAAAAACCTGTTTTGAGTAACGTTTTCGTTTATCAAAGAGCGTTGCAAGGGGGTGCCAAAAAATCTTTTTTGCAGTAGGATTTGTTTTAACATTCAAAGCCTATACTTTTCTGTAATTCCTTCATCCATGAAGTTAAAAACTTCATCGAAATTTTAAGTATAAAAAAAGAAAATAAAGCATAAAAAAATATCAAAATAACAAAATCACAGCAGTTTCTCCTTTTGGCTTTTTGGGTAAATTTGCAATATGGAAATGCACAGATTCGGCGATCAAGCGGACGATGCCAAAATAGAGCTGGATGAGGAGAAACTACGCGACGATGTTGAGGACATACTTCATAATGTGTGCCAGGAACAGCCGCTGTGTTCCTCAGAGGCGAACATAGTTCAAAGCAGCAGAGTGGAGGAGGCGGTGAACGCTTCTACTAACGATATCAGTGAGCAGCCACCAATAGGCGATGCCGAGGAGGAAGCCGTACCGGAGCAGCAGCTGGAATCGGTTCCCCTAATGCCTAGCTTTGCGGGCCGCTATGTCACGAGCATGGTCTCGACCCATCCCTTCGAGGTGCGGAAACGCTTTGTAAAGCCCAAGTTTTCGGGCATCCTCAATCACATGCGGCAACGGGCTTATATAGAGAATGTGGTGCGGAAGTTGTCGGGCAGAAAGGAACTGAACAACTTGCTGCTGTTCATTACGCCCACTGAAAAGCAATTGGATAACCATAAGGTGCATTGCTTTGCCATAGACACGGAACGACACATTGGGGTCACGAGCCTCACCAACGAGGAGCGCGAGTTGGTGGAGCGACATCACAGCCACGATAACTACTCGGTGATGTTTTGTTCCAGGCACATCGATCTGGGAGATATGGCAAGGAATACCCACATTAAGACTCAAATATTTAATACCTTGCGTGATGGAACAGTCGCCTCACGGAGGACCTGGTATCGGGGTCAACGCATCACGCTCAGCTTACTTTTAAGAGAGAATGCCAAGGAGGAGATTAAGGAGGACGTTGTGATAGAAGAAGCTGTGCAGCCCTTCACGGGCATTAGGTCGCTTCAAGAGCCCAAAATACCCGTGCGCCAGAGCCACAGGATATCGGAAAGGCAGGCGCTGTTAAGACGCCAGCGCTGCAGCGATACCTCCTACACCAATTCATCGTGCAACGGGAACCACCGGTCTAAACAGCCCGGAGATCCAGCCAAGCGTAGTCGCAAATATGAGACCTTGGCTCACAAGCGACTGCGACTTGAGAGCAAACGCATGCGGGAGCAGCATGTGGACGCAGAGCGCAACAAGATTGCCATTAAGCATAGACAGGCGGAGCTCCAGGCTACTGTTCTGGATATACGGCAGAAGATGTCGACGCGGACGGGTTACTCCAGCGCCCGTGGCTCGGAAGCAGGAACCTCCAACTGGCTGTTGCCGGTGGCGCAGAATCCCAAGCCCAATACTACGAAGCAACGTCACATCACCAGCCACACGAAGCTGATGGGCAAGAGCAAGAGCAAGACCAAGAAGGAACTGAAATGCAATCTGATAACCGTTCGACATGAGTTGCTGAGGCTCAGGGAGGAGTCTGACGAAAGTTCCAAGCCCCACACCACTGAAGAGCTACAAAGAATGGCTCAAGAAAATGCTCAGAAGATTCGGATGAGTCAGCGTCATCGCGAAGAGACAAGAGCCATCGTCAAAATGGCGAAGCAAATGAAGCAACAAGAAGAACTGCAGTTAAGAAAGGAGAGACAAAAAATCCAAGAAGAACGCGTTCGTGTGGCGAAGCAGAAGCTGCAGGCCAAACGAATAAAGGAGAAGACTGAGCAACTCGAGTTGCAGCAGGCACGGTTCCAAGCGCGATTGGACAGAGCACGCGACGAACGGGAGGAGGTGAAGAGAAATATACGGAGGCAGAAAATGAAGCAGAAAATGCGAGCCCGCTGCCATTCCGAGGGCTCGGCTGGAGATCAGCCGGACGCACCGCCCAATTATCAAGCCAGAGAGCGCTCCAGGCCAGCTAAAAACCTCGAGCCACGACAACGTTCGCAGACCTTAGACAATTTGTATGTCAACTACTATTCTAGCGACCAACAGCAACAACAACAGCCGAAAACCGTTAAGTTTGCAGAGATCATGCGAAATAGGCCCGCCACCCAAACCAAAGGCGTACAAATCTTCAGCGAGCCAACGGAATCGGGCGATCCATCTGAAATCGAGGGAGTACTGCCCGGAGTCGAAGTGGGCGAACCTATTGAGCCACAAGCGGATGAACAAGGCATTAAAATCCTATGGGAACCGCAGCCGTTGCATGAATCCGAGGGCCATATACCGACCCCCACAAAGAGCGGAGCGATCCAGTTCCACATGCCCAAGATCCATGGCAAGTCCTCCGTGTCCATACTGAAGAAATCCTCGGTCGCATTCGAGCAACTGTTGACGCCCATTACCCCGCCCGCCGAGTATTCGAAGCGCGCCTGCGCTCAGTTGCAGCACAAGCTGCGCAACTTGACGGTGAAAAGGGCCTTTGCGAAATTTGGACAGCTCGTCGAATGCATCAATAGTCGACCAGTTCCGCTTAACGAGCATCTAATGACCTTCTTCCAGTTTGCCGAGCTGCTGGACTTTAAAATATTTGCGCGACGCGAGGTCAACTTTCCGGGCTTTCAGCCGACAAATCAGCCGCGCCATCGACTCGAGTGTTACGTGTTTGAGGACCGCAAGGAGTTCATCGCCTCAATAGCGCTTCTGACGTCCCAGCTGCTCAAGTTTGTCAGCCTGTGTCCGCACATGGCGGTCAACTTGCAGTTTGTCGAGGACGCCTTCGCACTCACTGCCATGCCCGCCGGTCTGACCAGCTGTCTCAAGAGCTTCTGTGTTACGCTGCGGGCTCAGCGCCTCTACGACATATTGGCCGAGCTGACCTACGAGTGGGTGCAGCCCCCAGCCACACTCCTGACCCTGACCCACAAGGAGGACGGTGCTCAGAGCATTACCCAGACAAACTTGCCTGCGCTCGAGCAGTCCCCACGCAAATGCGCGCGCGTTTACTTTCCGGATCGTACGGCCTTTGTCAATCCCAAGGCTCCTTGGGGGAACTGAGAACAGTTGACTGCACTTAGATATGAGCTGCAAGACTTCTCAATCCTTATTTGTTATTGCCATCAAAGTGTTGCATCATTTCGTTTGTTCGCCGTTTCGTTTGTGTAATAAAACCTTTCGACATTTGCATCAAATTCCATGGCCTTATCTTTATTACCATAAGACGTTAGATTCCATTAACACTGCAGAAATTTCTGTTTCTTGGCAAATATACGCGTACTTAATTAAAATTTTGCTCTCGTTCTGCCGGCAGAGTGTTGCAACGCAGTCTCCAGAATGTGTAGCTTTTTCAAGTGATATTCAAAATTTTAATTTAAAAATTCCCAACCAACCAATAATCCGCTTTAATGCGCTCATCATTCCAAACAAAGTCCTTCTCATCTGTCAACTGCCTATTTGTTCTTTTATTTAGCATTGTGTAATGTTCCATCATAAGTATAAAAATACATACATTTGTATGCGAGTTTTCAATTTAAAAATCCGTTTGCTATTAACGCAACTGAAATGGTATTTGGCAACAGTTTTAATCCATATATCGACTAATATACATATACTCGTAGGTATATCATCAAAGTTTATATTAATTAATGAAAATACCTTAAAAGAAAGGCACTACCCGATTCGCACAATCTGATGACCTTTTCAATTCATAGACTTGTCGAATGAAGGACTTTTGGAATATGCAAATTTCTTATCAGTGTTTGCGCGAAAATATTGCCAGATTTGATATATATTTTATATATATAAATACACACATTTCTTTCAAATCAGCATAATGATTGAATCTTCAATTTCATCAGTATTTATACAAACTATAAAAACGAACGTTCAAAAAGTGATTCACGTTCAGGAAATTTGTTGTATTTGGGCATTAAAGAGTGTCACAAGATAAAAATAGAAATAAAGAAAAAACTATGGACATTCAAATTAGGAAAACACAGACAAGACTTTGCAGTTATATGTTTAACTGAATATCCACCACATCCGCATTTGTTCACAAAAAGATTGTCTCATGAAATCGACACGTAATGTTCTAGTATTTTCGCGACAGAAGTGCGTGCCACAGTCGAGCAAGCACATGTAGGACAGCGGAATTAATTGTCCTGTTTTTCAGCGTATTTCTGGCTTTATATTCTTTAAAGCACCTTACAGAAGCCTAGGACCTTAAAATACTTAGGAGATACTAAAGTCGAAATAGCTGCAACGCCCACCAAATAGTTCTCGTCCCACTGCCTCAATTATAGGTATACATCGATTCGATTAAGGTTTTATGCAAGCAGACTCCAAAAGCAAAATAAGTGGGACTCCGACTAGAATGGCAACTGATTATTGTTATTAGGGAAAAGCTGAGATTCTGAGATCAGATAGGATGGCCCATGGACTATGGAATGGACTATGAACATCAGAGAGTTGGGATACAATGAATACAGGGCCCTATTACGCCCCATGTACCATATATTCGTCTGTAAGAAAACTCAGTGATTGATATTCCCCCGTGTGTGGGCATAGCACCATAAACTATTCTTGTTATGCTCATTAAATAACTCTTCGTTGTGACTCTCTGCAACAGAACCAGATGCAATTCTGGCGCTCGTTTGCAATGGACCTGAATGGCGCTACAAATCCAAAAATGCTCCAGACATATATACATACGTATAAGTATTTATGTATGTAACTACGGCACTTGACGTGTAAACAAGCAACATTTGAAAAGAGGGCAACATTTACGCGCTTTAATGTCTGTCAACAAATTCGAACTCCAAGTTGTAGGCTAACTTTTGTACATAAAATATATGAGCACGGAACTTTTATGGCAAAGCTCTGGGGTTGTGATTATAGGTCCTAAAATGCACAAAGCATCCTTTTCGCTATTCGCTTTGAAAGACGCGAAAGCACTCTCAAAAATTGTTCTACAAGAAAGCTCGGCTTTATGGCAAGCATTCACTGCCAAGTACCCCTGTGTGTAAAAGCTCTCGGCCATCAAGACATGTTGCGTGCCCCTCTTGCCGAGTTCTTTGGCAACTTTTCGAACAGCGGCATTTAAATGTTTGGCCACATGCTGCCAGCAACATGCTTATAGCCGAGAAACAAAACTGTGTCAACATGGAAAGTTTGAGTTTCACAAACATGCGACTGGCGGAACATGCGAAAATAAAGGATTTAACAGGACGCGAAATATCTTCAGTATATTTTCAGATGTCGCTGTGATTTGAACGCTCAGTGCGCGCACGAAATCAAATGAAAGAAATTGCTCTCAATTCGGACTGAAGTGCGTGCGTCGTGCGGCACGAGGAGACGTTGCTCGGCGTGGCGTGCATCCTGTTGTGGTCCGCTGCAGTCACAGTTGTTTCAGTCGAATTTCGGCGCTCGTTTGCAATGGACCAGAATGGCGGGCCAATAAAAGCGCCCGGCAACCACTGATAACAACGTAGCGACGTCCTTTTTGATAATTACACAAGTGCAAGTGCCGAGCAAGGATACGCGCGCGCCTTTTCAAAGTGTGCCAGTGTAGAGGATGCGACAACTATCAACATAAACGTTTCACGGAGCCCATTTTGTTGGCCAACTATGCGAATTTCATGTTTCAAGGATATGTTGCCGGAAATGTTATCGTTCGAGTGGATGCCAATGTGGCCCTGTGTTAGTGTCTAAAAAAGCTAGAAACTTGCGTAAAAAGCAAAAGCAAAGAAAAAACAAGATTATGATGATGTTGTCGTTGTCGTTGCCCGAGGCGATGATGTCATGGCATTGTGCAGGCAGCAGCGAAAGTTTTGTTGTTGCTGTTGCTGTTGCTGGCAGCCGTCTTTTGGCCACAAACGGCACATGAGCAATCATTTTGCGAACTGTCGGGCCGCAGTCAAGTGTCATTATCCTAGCGTGCGGCATTGAAAGCAGTTTAAGTGAAATATACGCATAAAGACAAACCAAACATACATGTGTACTCAAATATATGCTCGAGTCGAGGAAGCATAATTAACAGAAGAGCCAACCCAAGCGCAAGTTTAATTAACCATTAAGGATTACGTCGCCTTCGGCATAGCAACCTAAGCGGCCCGCCCCAGCGGCTATTGGAGAGGCATATACGAGTAGGGAACAAGGAACAGACATCAGCATTGAAAAATGGATTTATTAATTGTGTTATGCTGCCTGCTGCTCGCCCAAAATGGTAAACAGAATGGAGTGCGAATGTCCAGTGACATTTCACTAAAGTCCTCTTTGTAATTGTTTCGCCTCCTCTAATCCCTTTTGACTTCGGTTTTTGTTGTTGTTTTTGTTTTTGCTTTTCCTTTTGCTTGGCCTGCTTAATTTGGGCAAAGTGTTTCTGTGGTGTGTAATGTTTTAGAAGATTTCAATTTGGTGTGCGTGCGTATTTTAATAATGGAAGTTCACACACACACACGCACACACACGCACACACACACACACACACACACACGCACAGACCATTCACTCACACACACGCAGACATTCGTACAAACTCTCAACAATGATTCATGCACTGAGTGCAGTCGTGTGTGTGGGTGCGGGTTGGAAATTGTGAAATAATACGAGTACTTATGCTATATGACTTACATACTTACTTACGAGTGCGTTATGCAAGCGCTTCTCTATTTCCTCGTTCAACAATAAAAACACATTCTCAAGTTGCCAATTAAGCACGAAAAGTAGCTAGAACTGGGTATATTTTTGCACACCTATTTTGACTGCTGAAATGAAAAGGCCCCTCCTTATTTGAAGACATCTCCGACTTGTTTCAACTTGATGGATAATTGCAAATTTGCAATTTTGAAAGAAAGTTATTAGACTAAAATAGCAAACTTAAACTTACACCTTAACTTTATCTTGGCAGCGTCAATTCGCAAAGTAAAAGGTTTTCAATTTAGTTTCATTTTTGCAGACCTCAGTCTGGCTTCTATGTCCAGTATAATACTATACAACTGTTCATTGGCTGCACCGATCGAAATAGTCGAAAAAGATTTCAAAATTTATTGAATCTCCGCTTATTTTCTTGAGGGACTAACAATAATTAATCAAATCTTACTCTAATTTATTTTACAATTGATTGTTTAATTGTATGTATAGGCCCAGGTGAAGAAAATAGGTCGCTGGGCTGGTTGGTCTTTGCACCGCAGCTGACTTTGGCTGCAAACTCGGATTAGAGTGCTTGCAAGAGGATTTGGATGGGAGGCCAGTCCTCTTGCTTGCCTTTCTCCACAGCTCTGAGTTTTAGGTCCAAATAGGTGATTTTGAAAATCCGTTTTCTAAAAGTGAATCGGATGATACAGATCCTTTGTAGTCTTTATTGACACATGTGACGTCGCGTCCAGTGGCATATAAATCCAAATTTTAATGGTATTTTAAATAATTTTTTGACTTGTGTGCTTGTTCTATCTCTTGTTGTCTGAGCACATATAAATTTAAAATAGAGCTGATTTAAAGACATTTTTGTTACAGTCCCAAGATGTTCTCCCATGTAACTGCTAGTTTTAAAGAATAGAATAGAATTAATTTTCTAGTTGCTGTTTAAATTTATAAATATAAATCATATGAATTTAAAATAGAGCAGATTTAGATATATTTTTGTTTCGGTCTCAAGTATTGATACTGCCATCTAACTGCTAGTTTTAAAGAATAGAATAGAATTGAATTAATTTGCATGTTAATGCTTAAATTTATAAATATAAATCATATGAATTTAAAATAGAGCTGATTTAAGGACATTTTTGTTTCAGTCCCAAGTATTGATACTTGAATAGATGTTCTCCCCCCTAAATGCTAGATTTAAAGAATATAATAGAATTAACTTTGAAGTTGCTGCTTAAATTTATAAATAATATAAATTAATATAAATTTAAAAAAGAACTGATTTTAAGACATAGCTGTTTCGGTCTCAAGTATTGATACTTGAATAGATATACCGTTAAAGAATAGAATAGAATTAATTTTCTAGTTGCTGTTTAAATTTGTAAATATAAATCATATGAGTTTAAAATAGAGCTGATTTAGAGACATTTTTGTTTCCGTCTCAAGTATTGATACTCCCATCTAACTGCTAGCTTTAAAGAATAGAATATAATTAATTTTCTAGTTGCTGTTTAAATTTGTAAATATAAATCATATGAATTTAAAATAGAGCTGATTTAGAGACATTTTTGAATCGGTCTCAAGTATTGTTACTTGAATAGATGTGCTAGTTTTAAAGAATGTAATAGCATTAATTTTCTAGTTGCTGTTTCGCCATTAAGCTTCTTACCTCATCAAGAGGATGTTTTGCAAGTATTCATAAACATATTCATGTCGTCATCCTAGTTTGAATCCAAATTAAATTAGGGCCTCGCAAAGCAGTTGGATGTTTTCGTTGCGTAACAAACGTAATAGCAACATTATCTGTGTCCGTTCACGCCAATACTCGTGAATTCTCGAGCTCAAAACCAATGAAAAGCTTGTAAAATGACAAAGATAGATCTATATGTGTGTGTATATCGTCCCTATCCCTAACGTATTTATTTAGTGCGCCTGGGCAAGGTCATGGCTGCTTCTGAATGGCCTTAGGTTTAGGTGACAGCACCTCGAGCAGAGCGCGTGTGCAAATGTTGCGGAATGAAGCACAAAGCGTAAAAATATGAAAGAAATAATAATAGACAATTGAGGAAAAGAAGATATGTGCGTTAACCGCAATGTATTCATGTTCTGCATGCACAGACACATGCCGCTGGCTTATTGGGCACAGCCTAAAAGCATGCTACGAATTTGCGATTCGAAAAATGTGCTTGCCAGCAATTTGAAAAAAAAGGGTGGCTGGGAGGCCATCCAACTACTCGGATGGAAGCTGCAACATTTCAGACGCATTAAATTTCCGCAAGTTCGAACAATTTGGCAACGATACTAACTGTTAAATGGCTAATTGAAAAGTGTGAGGACCTAATATTCGTGCATGCACTTTTCTGAATAATCATTTGCACATAAATATTGATTTATCAATCCCCATGAACTGGGCAACATTTTGGAGTATATATTCCATATGTATATATAGCGAACGATAAAAACCTCATATATTTCATTGGCAATAAATTATTTAAATTTGATTTTTTACGCACGTGAGCACAATTGATTTGTAATTTGTGCAATAAAAGAACAATTTATGCCAGTCAATAAATAGATGAAGCAGTCATGACGACAAACAAACTTGGCAATAAAAAATGGAGTGGAGTGTCAGTGCCCGGTTGCTCGACTTGCGACGTGATTGATATGCAGAGCAGCGCACGAGAGCGTTAACCATGAAACGGCGTTATTTGGAAATCGAAAATATAAAAAAGGACGTCTGGTGAAGCTTTGGCTACAAATCGTAGATGGCGGAGCTGAATTTGAATTTTTATTGGATTAGCATTTTTCACATTAGCATTGCCTTGACAACGCACTATTCATAAAATATGATTAAATTGCGTTTAAGGGATTTGTGCCATCTACTTGTACTCGGATTCTGATATGAGCTCTTCGCATAGGCATATGCCGCATGTTGGGCGGCAATTTTCCTGCTACATGTCCTTCCTCGGTGTACTAGACGGGTATGTTGCCGGCAAAGGCAAAGCTTAAGTGCTCTTCTACACATTCTGGAGAGAACTGACGAGCTTAGTAGTTAAAAGCATATTTACATCAGATTATTCATGCTCGACATATTCAACAAAAACTATGCGTGCTGCACATCTGTGTATGTGGGAAACAACCGTCTCCTATGTATGTACCGTGTCTGTTTTTGCTTCATTTACTTTGGTGGCTTGGGGGGCCACAAAAAATTGTTAACGTTCTATAGCCGCAATGATAAAAATTTGTTAATATTTAAAATGAGACGGTCCTTCCACTTTAATTTATCCCAAGGACTCGCTGAGCGCGGTCGCAGTTAGAAGAGAATAAGAGAGATAGAGCGGCAATAGTGTAGGTTAGGTGTAAGTACAATGATGTTTGAAGAACAGATTTAATTAATATATTTGTATGAGAACGGTTGCAAAGCTATATTCAGTTTAGTCGATTTGTAATATTACGAATTATTTGTAAAATGTATAATTTTTGAGCTGGAACAGAGAGAACACAATACACAAATAAAGGAGAGCTTTAACATAGATCCTAAATAATCTTGCTTCTTCATTTATCTTAAATATTTATGTATGTAAATAGAGTTGGCTTTGCTCGACTCATCTGCCCTCATGATTAAGAGTCTTTATCTAATTAAATATTCCCTATACCATTGCCTAATTAGTTTTCAAATGCAGTGTACAATTGTTATTGTGGTTAAATTATTTTGAAAATTATTATTATTAGTGTTTCAAAGTGTTTTTTTTTTTTTTAATTTTTCAACATTTTACACGGCTTGTTATCACATTCCTACCTATTCGTCCATTTGTAAAGTATAAATTCCATAAAAGTTATTTGTTAAGCAGTAATTTCATTTCAATTTCAAATGGAAATGCAATTTTTTTATAAATTAAATATCATTCTTTACATGCTTATGATTGTGAGTAGAAACGCTTTGCCTGTACTTTAAAGCACCACTCAAGCCACGAATTGATATATTATGTACATCATCTATTTCATCTCTATAGAATAATATGTACATATATAGTTAATATATTTGTAAAAAATTGGACATTTAAAAGTACTGCTAAAATTGGCATCTGGAATAGAAATAGTTTAATTGGTTGCTCGCCAGTTATTTAATTGCAACTCAAAATTGTGAAAATCAGAAACAGCAGTTGTTAAAATTTCTAAAACCGCTTTAAAATACATTTCGAAGTAAGGGTGTCATTGAGGGAAAAACAAGCACACTTCTGGCGAGTTTTTGTTGCTCGTGTACCTTCCGACAACTTTGCTTTCATACTTGTATAAGGAGTCAGGAGTACAACTTTCGAAAGAGGTAGTTCTTTCAAATAATGTTGTGCCAATCATGTTCGCAAAGTTCATGTTTTCAAAGCCGACCATAACATTGAGGAAAAGCTTTCGTCACTTTGCAAACTCTTTGCAAATACTTGTAGTTGACAGAAAATATATTCAAACGTGCAAGTATTTGTTTAAAAAATGTTAGATTGCAGTGCAACGTAGAAATGTGTTCACTGCTGCTCTATTCAATTACCAATAATTATTCTGGGCGATGGGGAATAAAAAGAAATTCTTGGTAAATAGTTTTGATATTTATTTTCAATTTCGCTGGCGCAAAGGGCCGAACTTATTTGGCTCAAACATTAATAGCAACTACAAAGGAGCAGAAGCTTAAAGGGGTCGAGTGGTGCGGCAGAGGGCCAAGAACGCGCGTGCCTTTGCAACTAAAAAGCGTCGCGTGTTGGGAATTGGATGCAAGCGCCTTGGGCCCTGGGCCTTGGCCAACAAAGGGGCGGGGCTAGCAGTTGAAGGCGGGCAGTATAGGTGATGCGTAATGCCAAGCTGGCAACAAAGCTTTTAAAATTTGGCAAGCGCAAGCAATTTCCAAAAAAATATATACAAGTACGAGTTTGAGTTTAAGTGTGTGTGTATGTGTGTGTGTGTGTGTGTGTGTGTGTGTGTGTGTGTGTGTGCTTGGGCAAAATAATATGAGTTTGTTATTAAATTTTTCATAAATTTTCGGTCATAAAACATCAAACTGCATTCAAAGCAAAAGAATTTCCATTAAAATTTCATAAAAACAGCAGGAGCGGCAAAAAGGCTGCTGGCGAGCAACATTTCATGGTAAAAATCTATTCATTCATTCTCTCAGTCAAACGCAAAAAGCTAATTAAATTGAAGCAAAGTAGAATCCATGGAATGGCCAATGTTGGCCAGTGTTATGAGCCCAACGCGCTGAACACAAGTTGCCATTTTATTATGCTTCTCTGCATCCTTCTCCATAGTACTCTATCCCCAAAAACTAATGGGTATATTATGAAGTTTGTTATACATATTAGGTACCAGAGACCAAAGAAGGCGGGAGGAGGGGACGACTCTATATAGCCATCTGTCCGACGCCAAACAGAGCTTGTGATGCATGTCTTATCCATTTGTCTTATCCATTCCGCGTCTGAACCTTAACCTCATAATATAAATATAACATATATATATACACTTTTTAAAACCTTTAATTGACTCCTGATAAGTTAATCTCTTAACGAGTCCGATGAGGAAGCCACTTGGCAACAAAGCTCGATCAATTAACAGACTAACAGCTTCATAAAACAGCTGTCATGGGAAAATGGGTAAAGCTCCAAGTCTAAGTTATGTCTTTATGCCTTAAACGTTAAACGTGAAATAAGTAGGAATCACTATTTAACTTGTTGAGTAGACGGTATTTTAAAGAGACTCATACATTTTCTTAACCTATGCAACAGTTTTTAAAACTTCAAGATTTTTATTCAAAGCATGCTTCACAATCGAATAAGAAAGGACTTGGAAATAACGACACTACTGATGATTTTATTTATAGCTTCACTAACGAGAAATTGGAGTAATCCTAACCGGTCTGAAATCACGGATCATAAGAGATTATCATAAGGTTATAAATGTTTCGAAAATATTGAATAAAAAAGAAATGCTCACCATGAACGAAACGAAAATTAAGAGAACACCACAAAATATGTTAATGTTCATGCCCCTCCCGCACGTCTCTCGCTTCGCCCACTGCATAGGGTGTAGAGGAGTCGGGGGTGCACGATGTTGAGATGTTGAGAGCTTGAGAAATCTGCAACATAAAAAGTGATAAATTTAATGCGTTTTTTCTCGCTCCTCTCCTTCTGTCTCCGCAGCAGTTGCAGTGCTCGGACAGCTGGGCAATGCTTACTACAACAGCAACAACAACAACAACAATGGCAATGACAATGGCAATGCCCCACCACTCACGCTGACACCATCGTTGCCATTAATATCGCATTTTATAAATGACTCCTTCATCATCTTCTGCAAAACAGTACAAAAGGATATGGACACCAAGTGGCGTGATCCCAATGGCCAGACGCGCGAGAACACCAAGGGCCGTGTCCACATTGAAAAGAAGACGGGTAAGTGTGCCAAGACATGCCAAGTGCTCGAGGTGGTCGAGGGCAGCAGGAGCAGGAGCTGAAGCTGAAGCTGTTGCAGTAGCAGAAGCGGCAGATGCCACAGATGCTGAGATAAATGTTAGTTGCTGCAAGGCACATGCCAACGTCGAGTTATGCAAAAGTAAACGTTGCCACATCATGCCCCTGCACTTGCGATTCTTGCTTTCTTCCAACACAAGCGCCAAACACACACGCACACACACGCACACACACTCACGCATGTATACGTGTACCAATGTGCATGTGTGTCTCTCTTTCCAGGATTTCTAGCGCTGGTCTTTGAGCATATTTCACTCGCCGACAAGGGCAACTGGACCTGTGAAGCGGATGCAGCGACGCAGGATGCTAAAAAATCCTTTGAACTGCTTGTTAATCGTAAGTCGAGAGAACAGCTTTCACTCAAAAAAGGCGCCAGCCCCAATAAGCCCGATAGCGACGCGGCTGCTTACACAAGCAGAAGAGGGTCAGAAGAAAATCAAAAAAGATTTCTCTACTGTGGCGGCATTGCTTGATAAACCTATCCAAGAGTGTAGATATACATACATATACTTGTATGTTTATGGCAGCTAAATAGTAAGTGAGGCAGAAATTAAGGACAAATTCTCTTCACACCAATCATGTCATTATTAATTGTTTGCTATGCGGTTATAAACAGCTCTTTATATTTATAATCATATTTTATATTATCGGCAAAAATCGGAACAGGTTGCATTACTTCTTTGCTTGCAGCACTTAATTATTTATTAAATTGTTATCAGAATCAGCGTCCTATCTGTTGTGGAAACAAAAAAGTTGCCAATTGTTAATAATTATAACTCACTCGCTAATACTGGCATCGAACGTAAATAAAGAATTTACAATCTATGCTTTCCAATTAAAATGTGGTGTGAACAAATAATCTAGCGATATATGTAGAATACGATTTTCTCAAGAAAAACTTGATAGAGGCACATTTTACTCAAGCTGGCTAGAAAGACTCCCAACATTAGTAAATAATTAAATGAGTTTGTAAAATATACTTGTACTTGTATGTCTTAGGTTTAGTTGAAGTGCAGCTTGTTAAATAATTCATCAGACAACAGAAACCCGGAAGCTCCCGGGATTAATCAAATTAATCTGCTTTTGTGATGTTTAAGAAAATATGTAAAACGGTTTGTCCCCCAAGCAATGCCACAACATGTAAGCAATGACCTCAGTTGTTACCAATCTATTATTCCCTCATGCCGTCTCTCATTATTTACAACTGCCCTAAAGCAATTTATACAATTTGTGTTTTTCCGTTTTCCGTGCCACTGCCACTGCCACTGCCTCCGCCACTGCCACTGCCACTGCCTGTGTGTGCCACAGAGAAAATCTCATTTGACAAAACGGAACAAGTGCAATCGGTGCGCGAAGGACACGATGCCATGGTCAATTGCTTTGTAACGGGCGAGCCAAAGCCGGAAGTCTTCTGGCTGCATAATGGCGAAAATATAAACAGTTAGTAGCACACCCACACCCACACACACATAGAACCAACAATGACATGGCAAACTTGTTAACTATGTATGCTGCATCCTTGCTTGTATCTAACTAGTGTCCTCTTTCCGTTTCTCGCTCGCAAACAACACACAAACCCAGCTGTAAACTCGTCGAAACACAGACGTCTGTCGGACGGACTCTTCATCAAGAATGTTAGCCAAACGGATGCCGGCGAGTATACATGTCGTGCGATGCGTATTACACCAACTTTTTCGGATTCCGATCAAATAACAATATTGCTAAGGATACAACGTAAGTGGCCGGAGCTGCCGGAGTAATACTTCTACGTACTATACTACTATATATAGTAGTAGCATCGACCAATGCGGGCTGTCACTGCGATTTCAGTTGCAGCTAGGTCGGGGGGAGGGCGAGGGACACCATATAGTTGTGGGTTTATTGCAGCATCTAACTATGTACTCGTATGTACAAGTGTATACAAGTATGTATGTGTGTCTGCTTAGCCATGCACAAAGCCTGCTGGTCAACGTCATCGTCAGCGTCAGCGTCAATGCCAACGCCAACGCCAATTCCATTGTCAACTCTCACACAAAAGTGCCTGGCATCTCTCGATACGTTCCCAGCCCCTTGATAATATTTAATCTAAAATTTATTATTTGCTGCAGTTGTCGTCGTCGTTTGCGGCGATTCGAATGCGAATGCGAATGCGAATGCCACCTCGCAAGCTGTGAGTTGCATTTCAACTTAAATTTTATGCTTCGACAAAAATTGCTTCTGGCTAGCTGTTGCCTGCAAGCCATTTATGCCGCTCCCGATGCCTCCACCAACAACAACTGCATGCTTCGTTGCCTGTAATGAGAAATGTGTTTCCCCCGCGTGCTTGTTGTTCGCACCCCAAGGGGGAATGAATGTGAAAGCTCGCAGGTCAAAGCCATGGTCAAATATTTTCAGATGCCAAATAAAGAGAGTGAATGAATTGTCGAGCTTGCTTGTTGCCATGACACGGAGATTTAAGTGGACTTTAAAACCTATAAACAAATCTGTTGACTAATTGTACTTGACAAGCTAATTGTCCTACAAAAGAAGATTTGAAGATTGGAAAAAAAGGGGGAAAAAAATTTGAATCTAATCAATTGAATTTCAATTTTAACAGGACTAATCATTTTATTTGTATTCTATTCTATTCATAAGAGCTATCAACTTTCTTTTTATTTTCTTTAGTTTCAAACTAGAGTCGAGCAAGCCCGGCTGTGCAATACCCTGCACCCAAACAAAGTTGAACCAGAAGAACAAAAACAGCGAACCCCTCCTGCAGTTTGTGGGCGTAATAACCTTTATATGTATGCTTTGCTTCTTTTGCTAAGTTTGGTATTTCTTTTAATTGTTAAATGTTTATGCTTAAATTAAAACAAGAAAGCACGCTACAGTCGAGCCCGCTCGACAGCAAAATACTCTGTACTCTCCACAAAAAAGCGAAATTTATAAAAATTATTATAAAAAATTTCATTAAATTATATATAAAATATTCAACGCATACATGCATCATACATAAGTGCTTATGTACTATTTGAAAAGAATAAATTTGCATCAGAATCGTGTCTCTGCGTGTTTATATGCGTGTATGTATGCAGCACAAAGTTGAGCCAAAGCAGCAACAACAGCAATAGATGCGGGCAGAGCAAGGGCAGCGATTATGGCTATAACTTCTTCAGACCAATTTATTGACCAATCATGATGGCATACTTGTACGGCATACGGATACATAATCACAAACTGGATGTTATTGCCAAATTGAAATTCCAAAAACTATGGGAGTTATGTCAAAAATTCGAGTTGCAGGGGAGTGGGGGGGGGGGGGTATTTGGAAAAAACTCAAACTCGTGATTTCTTGGTCTTAGGATAATCTAGATACCAAGCTTGGTTATTCTAGCTATTATACTTTCTGAGATCCTTGCGATCATACAGACGGACGGACAGACGGACGGACAGACGGACGGACAGACGGCTTGTCACCCTGATTAATAATATATTTAGCTATGGCGAGTACGAATACGAAAATACGAACTGGGGGGAGTGGGGGGTCCATGGAAAAAAAACCCAAACTCGTGATTTCTCGGTCTTAGGATCATCTAGATACCAAGCTTGGTTATTCTAGCTCTTCTACTTTCTGAGATCCTTGCGTTCATACAGACGGACGGACAGGCGGTCAGAGGGACATGGCTACATACCAAGTTTAGTGAAATCCAGACAGACGAACTAACGGACGAATATGTCTCAATCAATTGCTGTCGTTATGTATGCTTTACGGGATCGGACCTGCTTCCTTCTGCTTTATACCCAAGGGGTGCAGGGTATAAAAAGCTGTGTTTTACTTGTTGAAACTAACTTGATTTTATTAATATTGCCCATTGTTTACTTATATTTATCGACATTTTATCAATTTTATATTCTGATGAATAACAATTGAAATGTACTCTCGAATGTTTTTCTGACGCTAGCCTATAATTTATTTTGTTCATGCCAATATCTGCTTAGCCTGAATGAGATCTGATATAGATATATACAAAGTCAGAGGGAAAACTTTGTATTTTCTTAAAGTTGCAAAGTAGGGCGCTTATGTTTTTTGCTGTTAAATACTATATGTGAACATTTATTCCCCCAGTTGTTATGCAATGGTCGGTGTGGCAAGTGCTGGCTCTTGTCTTTTTCTATGCGCTCTTATCCTTTGATCAATTTAAAATGTTTACTTTACAATTTCAATATGTCAGTTGAAATTTATTCATCAGCGCACACAGTCCTTTGGCTCATCAGAGCAAGAGTCTTGGCAAGGACTCGTACATACTTCCATAAACCAACTGAAATCAATCAGGCAAATCCGTCAGCTATATGCCTTGGCTTGGCCAATGCAATTGATGCTACAATTGAGTTGCCTTCCAAATGTGCTGATGACGATGATGATGACGATGATGATGACCATGCGAATCATGCATAGTTACCAAATACAAGTACTATACATATAGTAAGTATACACACACTCTACTCATACGTACTCGGACATGTGCACATACTATTTATAGTACCACAGAGCGGACAAGAAGTGTGCCGAAAAGTAAACATGGCCAGTCGCAGACCGAAACTAATTTGTAGCCAACTGAAATCCTGAAATATATATGTTTGCATTTCCTCAGCAATAAACTTCAATGAGCATGGGCGTTGGCTGAGGGCCGTCAGCGACGGGAATGGGGTTGGGGTTTGGGGTGGGGATGGGGATGGGAACGTCGACGAAATGCTAAAATGTGCTATTAGTTTACGCTTCAATGGAACGCCTGTACCTAGTACTCGGTCACGACATGGCTAAATAGATGCATCGGGTGAAGAGGTGCAGATGTGCAGATGTGCACAGTGGCTCAGATTTCATGCAAAGTACAATGCATTTTAAACAATTGCGTACGCTCTCCTGCAATTTATTCTAGTGTATTCCGTTTCCGAAATCTTTGGGTTGCCTTCTGACTATCAAAGATCGCAGAAGTAGGTGCGCAAAAATGAAGGATATTATGCGGATCCGTTTTTAGCATTTACTTTACATTTGCGGAATCAGGAGCCACTGTGGAACGGCTTGAATTGTAACGGATGGGCTATGTGGCGCCACAGCCGCACGTCATGGGATTTGCAGAAGACAACGACAAATGCACGAGGTGCAGGAGCTGATGTAACGGGTTCGGATTGGAGTGTGGAATCTGAGAGATTGTAAAGGGAAATGAGCGCATTGCGCGTGAGCCCTTTGTTTGCGAAAAGGAGGCTGCCTGGCAGGCTGTCTGCCGCTTAACAATCTATATGTAGGGTGCGGGAATGTGCGAGTACGAGTAGATGGATGGTTATACTTACTATATGTTCGTGGTTGACTATGCATTGCGGGTGCGAACAAACAAAGCGCATCATCATCATCATCAAGCCCATGCGGGCTTGTCAAATGAAATGAGTGCAGCAACTTAGGCAAATGCATTTTTTTTCACACCTTCCCCCAGCACCTTAGCCCACCTCTTCACTCTCACTTTGTTCACAGATAAGCCGCACTGGTTCTACAATGAAACACTACCCGTACAGTACGCCTATATAGGCGGGGCCGTCAATCTCAGCTGCGATGCCATGGGCGAGCCGCCGCCATCTTTCACTTGGCAGCACAACGGCAAAGGGATAGTGGGCTTCAATCATCGTGTGTTCTTCGCCGACTACGGCGCCACCCTTCAGCTCCACATACGCAACGAATCGCAGTTCGGGGACTACAAATGTAAGGTGGGCAATCCCTTGGGCACGCTCGAGCGCATCATTAAGTTGCGTGCGGGCGCCAAGCCAACGAGGCCAACCCGTTTCCAGATAAAGCGCCTCTACACCGACGCCTTCGAGCTGGACATTCGCGCCCCACGCATGCCAAATGCCACGGACGAGATGCAAATCTACGGCTATCGAGTGGCGTACATGAGCGAAAGCGATTTCAAGTACAGTGCAGGCAACTGGAGCTACGCAAAGCAGCGAGACTTCTCCTTCCATCGAGGTAAGTGAAAAGGCACCACTCCTACTCTGTCCTTAATACTACGAGTAGTATGTTAATAAATCGGTCTATACTCGCATGTCGGCTCAAATTATACGGTCATGGCAGTGGAAAATATTATGGGCAGAAGGGTGTGTAGCAGACGCCATCAGCATGATAAGACAAATCGATACATGTCGAGACATGTCCGACGCGTCGGATCGACTAGTCCTTGCAATTATAAAATACATGTGGGCTGAACACACACTTATTTTACTTAATTTATTCACAAAGTGCTTTAATTATTAAATGACAAGATTAGTATATTTAGGTGTTTACATAAAGGGTTTTCTTTAGTTGATAGAATGTGATATGCATACAACACAAGATCAACCACTGAACTCAACTTGAAGACTCTCTTCCCATAGAACGAGTGCAGTTCGCTTGTGTCCAGTGCAGACTGTACTGTCGAATGGCAATATCGATTACCATTCCCTCACTACTCTGTACACTACAACTGGCTTATACATTGAATATATTTGAAAATAAACAACCGATTTTCAAGTACGAGATATTTTTATTTAATTTGGTTCTGTACAATTTCTCGAACTGAGGTTTTCAACACTGGTCTACTCAAGTCAGTCGGTTCACTAATGACAAAGTTATTCAATATTTACATACCGGCATAAAAGATGGCGCACCCTGTATGTACATACATACTTGTACTACATATTGTCAAACAACCATTATCGCTTACAGATTATTATTGAATTCTCGGCTGCGTCACACATTCGAGTACTTTTGAAAACCGTAAACAGCTTCCGACTGTCTCTTTATTTGGCTGCCGGAAAGTATGTCATTAATCTGATGTGGGTGCCATGTGCGGCTCAGAATGCAGAGAACGGGAAGACTGTCAGGCTAATGAGCTTACGATACAATGGGGCACTCATTGAACAAGAACGATAAAGCTTAAGCAGGGCTTCAAACAAAGCTCAATAGAGCTCTCCAGATCAGGGATCATTACAAGTCTTATTATTAAAAGTACAAAATAACGATTATCTTTTGATTTTATTCATTCGCAATTCACAATATAATGATTCATTTTAAGTTTTACTTTAACAAACTATCATTTTTTTTGATTATAAATTTAAAAATTAATATTTACTGAAATAAAAATAAAACAAAAACAATTTAAAAAAGATATTAAAATAGATATTCCCAAAAAAAAAACAATATTAGTAAATCCTCGCTTTCTCAAAGTTAATATAAATGAATGATTTTATTGTTGAACAAAAAAATTATAATAATCTGCGTAATAATACGAAACTGGCACTTTAGCAGAAACGGCAAGAAGGAGAAATTCCTCTTCTAATGCTCTTTTATTGGACTAACACTTAGGGTTACTTGATGATTCCAAGCCAATCCAATTATAACGACCATAGTCGGGTCGTTAAACAGACAAATAATTCCCACCGAAATTTAGGCTTAACGTCTAAAACAAATTCCAAGAAAATCAAACCCTCTACCTCTAATAAGTATATTCGATTGATTTTAAGATACAATTGCATTTAAAAGCCACCCATTTTATTTAAATCTTGTTTAAAATAACACAATAGTATTGGTCGGCTTAAGCATAAATGAATTAAATAGCTGTAGAGCTCTTTTTTTTCAATTGAATTGTTGAACTGAATTCCTTTTGTTTGTTTCGCAGGCCATCGATTTATAATCTCCCATCTGGAGGCAAATACGACGTATCTGATGCGGGTGGCCTCAAGGAATCTGGCCGGACTAAGCGATTGGAGTGGTGTGAACATTTTTGCAACTGCTGCAGGCTCCACCCGCGCACTGATGAGCCTCTGGACATGGCTTCTGCTGCTTCTGGTTCTCATTTGGCATTAGAGGGTTAGGCGGACGACCTTGTGCCCCACTCGATTTCATTTACAAAACAAAACATAGCTCTATTCAATTATTGTTGTTGTTGTTAATGTAATTGCTCTTTTTATTAGGTATACTATATGTTGCCCTGGGTTTGTGTATCTTCTGTGATAGCGAATGATTTGTGCAATTCACTTAAAAATAGATTTATTAAATGCATATGCTTTTTGACATTTACAGCCAGGCTTTGCATTTCCCCTTCTCATCCCGAGCCCATTCCAGATGTTTTTTTCTCACTTTTTCGAAATGTTTTTATACCCGTTGTCATAATACAAGTACATACATACATACTACATATGCATTGTCGACTCTTACATTAAGTAAACGAATAGTTAAATGTAAAAACCTACAAACGAAGCAAAACAAACTCCACATCAATGTCGTTCGTGCATATTAAAGAACTAAATAAAAATAAATATACAAATAATAAATAAATGTAATTTAAACAACAAACAGCAACTCACTTTGATGAATTTTACAAAAGTCCAAATTATTGATACAAAAACAAACATAATTGAAAACAAACAAACAAACAAACAAGTATTTAAAATGGATAAAAAAAAGACAAAGGCATCGCGAAATAAATCAATAAAATATATGGGGTTAAAATAGCTTAATTGGAATGAAAAAGTATCTAGAGAACCCCAAAAACAAACTTGAAAAACCAAAATGGATTAGCTATTAAGCTGTGCGTATAAGTAATATATGAAAATAAATTCAATTGAATGTGTAAAATGTGGCTTTGATTTTCTGATGCATGCAAAAAACCATAAAATCATTTTCCAAATGGTGAGTAACGAAGCAATATTCAATAAATAATAAACAATATTTAATTCATTTCGTGCAAATCTGCAAAGCATGCCTGCCTTTTGAATTGAAAACATAAAACCATTACACTTTTTCCTGTTTTCAAATCGTTTTATTCTGCCTCAAGGACTGAATAATATTATTGACTAGGCATCGTCGTTCGTCCGGCAGTCTATCTTATTTACATCTTCCTCGCAATTCTTATTTCTGTACTGAGCCGATCGAATCAGTACTTACCACGCAAAGATTTTCCATGACACAGCGATATTTTAAGCTGTCTATATAACAGGTTTTTTTAATATTTTTATTTGGCCGTCCACTTTTGTTACAAGGAAATCGTCATCACCGATTGTGTCGTCTTTTTATACGACGGATATTAGCATTTTATTTTAACTGTGCAATTTCAGTATTACTCTTCAAGCTATTATTACTTGCGGTATGATTCCAACCGGTGTCTGCACTCAGAAACGAACTCACAATGGGATTCCTGCCAGGCCCCCATAAAATAAGTAGGTTTAATTCTTCATAGAACAATCATTACTAACAACAATTGTTTTTGGAATTGCAAGCATTCTGCTCAGAAGAATATGGCATTATAGATCCTTGCATTCATACAAACGTACAGGGGAACATATCTTTATATTTTTATCGCCGAACAGGATATAAAATTTAAGCTATTTGGTGTACAAGTTCTCCCTCCCTCTCTCTCTCTCTCTCTTTTTCTCTCCCTCTGTTGAACGATATCAAAGAGTATTTAAGTTCAACAAAACACTGCAACCGACTCGAGCGAATAATAATAATGATAATAATTCTTCTCGTGGGCTTTTAATCTAATCCAAGTCAAGGCATAGCTACGGGTGGCTGTAAGCTCTTGCAATAAAAACCAGTCGACATATAATACTTCATCTTCGGCAAAGCAGCGAATTAGAACCAGTTATTTATTGCCCTAGACTGCAGTCCACCCAACCACTATGTGATTTCAAGTCATGCATGTACATACAAGTACGCACTTAGAGCGATATTTTCGACCATTTGTTATGGCCAGCCTCCTCTCATAAACACTCAAAGGCCCAGCAGCAGGCAAAATCTACTATAAGTATGAGCCATGCACACGGCTCTTCCTCAGAAGACACAACCAGCCGAAAAACCATAATAAACTAGCTCATGAAAGTCAATAAAATGTCAAATGGCAACGCATTAACAACGCTTAGGCATAAAAAACACGCACTCGCGTTCCGGTGAGGCAATAAGTAAATATTTACACACACTTAGAAAAAAAGGTCATAAAGGATTCAAACTCCGTCTGTCTGTATGAACGTAAGGATCTCAGCTCAAAGCCCTCAGTATTAAACTTCAGATTCAGATTCTTCTAAGTCTGATAAAGGAGATGGTTTAATTTTTTCTGATGCATCCCCACACTCCCCCGCTTAAATGACTTTCCATAACTCTCGTAATTCTTCGAATTTGAAACTCAAATTTGACAATTACATCTGGTTAGTACTTATGTATATACAAGGTGTGTTCCAAAGTAAGCAGGACTTTAAAAAAAAAAAACAGAACAAATTGTTTTTTTCGGCCAAATCAATTTATTTTATTTAAAATAGTCTCCTTCTGCTTCAATACAGCTTTATGCAGGATTCAAATTTTCGGTGATCACGAATTTTGATTGGCCCACATGTTGACCGTCATTTATGTCCTCACGACCACTTTGAAAACGTTGAAACCACTCGTGCACTCTGCTACGGGGTAGGCAATCATCGCCATAAACTTGTTCCATCAATTGAAACGTTTCGGAAAAAGTTTTACCAATTTTAAAACAAAATTGAATGTTGGCTCTTTGTTCGAAGCTCATTTTCGCACCGATAACACAAACATACTGACACTTAAAACGCAATAACTTCACTTCCAATCGATGAAATGTCATGAAATTCTCACTGAACGATCGATAAAGATGGCAGATTCTAACGCACCAGTCGACATATAGATAGCGCCACCAGGGGGCGCTAGATTCAAAAAGTCCTGTTTACTTTGGAACGCACCTTGTATGTGACCTCATGTCGAGTTTGATTGTGATAGGTCAAACGGAGTTGCAGCCTCTGCCCATGCTCTGCCAGTGGTTGTTGTTCTTGTTGCTGGTTTGCCTGAACTCTGCATTGCATACACACATACAGACACATACAGACACATACAGACACATACAGACAGTGTTTAATAGACACACAAAGAGTGGGCACAGCGTTTCGTTCTTGTTTATATTTAATCAATTGTATTTTTAAAAACTCAATCAACAATAACAATTTTACAATAATTGCATTTGTTATTTTATACTTTCATTCCTCAACGACAGAGAGTGGATGTTATAAAAAAACGGTTGACAAAAACGCAGCAATATCGACAGGTCCAGGGCTGCTCTGCCAGTCATTAGTCGAGATATATTCAGATTTAAAGACGACAGAATATACTATACATACATACGAGTAGTATGCCAGACTATGATAGCTTGCTTCAACCAAAAATGCATTCATTCAGCAATTATTTGCAACAAGCCTATCATATCTAGATTGATTGTTTTTTTTGCAGCTTGGATAGGACAAGCAGCATAAATCAGTGAAGTACCTAGAAGTATAATATTTTGTAAAGTTATTATTACTTAACAGCACTAAATCAAATTGTTTGATATCCAATCATTCATATTTGTACCCCAGTTACATAATTTTAAGAAGCACATTTAATGTTTATTTGCGAGAGTTGTGTTACACTTAACCAAGAATCTTCATTAATTCTGCCATCTCTACAATATTCGCATATAGAATTATCTGAATTGCATGCAGCGTTGGTCCTTTATTAACCATTTGCACCTTAACTGATTTAAATGTGAGTTCATCGGAACAGACCACATTTAGTCAGTTTTATGGTTGACAATAAACCAGTTAATTGCACTTTCACCTTCACAACTCTTCTATCGTAAATAAACTAAGGGCGTTCTTGGATTCATTAATTGATGGTCCAAAGAATTTAATGATCCCTGTACAGTTCACAGGTAGCGTCTATACTAGAATACTGCTCAGAATGCAGATCAGAATCGAGTTGAGTCTGCTCAGAAACAATTCCTTGGTTTTGCTCACCCACCTCAAGAAGACTTCAGCTTAATTAATCCTCCTTCGCTGGCTAATCGGAGGCCAATCCTTGAAGATGTGTTCCTTATTAAATTGTGGGCAGTGTCCTTTGCTCTTTCCTCTTAGCTCGTCTCAAGTTCTCAGTTATTTGCAGAACATCAAGAATATATATTCACCTTATCCTTAAAAGAAGCACAACTGAAAAATAAATTAGTTAATTTATGTTGAACATTTACTTCTATTCTAAATATCTAAATATCCTGTTGGGTACAGACTACAATAAGAAAATGAATGCATGTAATTCATTGATCGATTTGGTAAAAAAGAGCAAGAATTTGCTTGCTTACATGGCGAGACTTCTACCAAATAATTGCTTGTTATCGATGCTACCCCTTTTTTTTCTCGGTGCAGCATAAGCCGCATTGGCGGCTTTTGATTCGGCAGCCACATAAGCAACATTAAAGCGCGATAAACCGGAAAAGTGCGTGCTGCCATTTACATAAGCCAACAGTGGCCAACAGCGAATTCGCTGAGCTATAAATGATCATTAACGCAATCGGGCGTAATAACTTATTGTGCTTAAAAAAGGCGCAGCAGCGGCAAAAATGAAAACGAAAATAAAAATATAAATAAAAAGGGAGAGAAAATAATGTTACGGGTCAATGCAATTCCGGACACAAACGTGAAATCGAAAAAATGGCGTTAAATAAATAAAATCGCAAAGAGTATCTCCCGGCGTGTGTGTGGGTGAGAGTCTGCCTAGTTGTCGTTGTTATTGTTGGTGTTGGTGTTGGTGTTGTGGTCGTGTCGTTGGCGCAATTTATTGTACAAGTGCGGCACGCCCACAATACGCCTCTACGCCCATAAGACCACTCCAGCCATCCAGCTACCCAGTCAGCCAGCCAGCCAGCCAGCCAGCCAGTCAGCCAGACACTCACGCATGGCTGACTAGTTGGATGTAAAGCGCAGATTATTAAAATACAATTTATTGCCAATTTCCAGCCAAAAACGAAACTGTAAACTCTGAAAACTCCTCCTGCTGTGCTTGATTGCATACCTGCCTCTTCAACTGCCACAGTCACACACTGACAGGCTGACAAAATGACAAAATGACAGCTTGCCAAGCTGTGCTTGCCGAGTTCTTACATAAAAGTCAAGTGCAGCAACAAAAAAACCAATCGGCATAAGCGCATTTTTGTAATTAAGCCTTCGTTAAGAACTGGACTACATGCTGTCAATGTTGTTGTTGTTGTTGTTGTTGCCGTTGTTGTAGCTCTTCCTTTTTTTCTTCTTCCTTCCGCAGTCTCCAACTGTCACTCGCATGCCACATACGCCATTTTGTTAAATGCATTTCCATGTAACGCCCTGCATGCATAATTAATATAGCATTTTACTCCCGGAACGTAAGAACGGGCAGACTGATTTTTTATACCCTATAGTGCCATAAAAAGGTATTCAAGGTAGCTTTCCACTCTTGTTTCAAATACTTATGAATGTGGCACATAGAAAAGAGCATTTGTGTGGCATGTAGTACGAGTACATACGACTATATATGTAGTATGTGCACATTTCATTAATTGCTGACTATAATCATTGTTTTTGTTGACTTCTCATTTATTAGAATAAATTGCGGTCTATTTACTCAACTCAATTAAAAATATA